ACCCAACCATTTTCTGATCCTTTGATCGCAGAATCACTTACTTCCAACTGACTATTCCTTCATTTATTTTACGTTCATGTATCCAAAATATGAAATATTTCCACTTGATCTGAATGCTGTTATTGTTAGACTTCACCACAATTCTTAATTATGGTAATAATCTAATAGTGCACAAAGGGTTATCCTCATATTTTAGATCAGAATAGAATGATATCTCATACTCAAGTGCAGAAGCATCTTTTATGTAAGAGGTGAAGGATAAATTACGACAGGAACCCACAAGCAACTTAGGTATGCGATTAACTTTACGTTCCATTCTCGATGATCTCGAGTGAAATCCTCAGGGATTGCTGCGACATATTTAACTCGCAAAAGACCTGATACAAATTTCTGTGGTGTGTATGAAAAAGCTTGTGGAAGACTTTCGGAAATATTCGAAAAAGGTAAATTTTTATATTATAGAAGAAAATAGGACAAATGACTGTACTTCTCTTCAGGGATTTATCCAGTGAGATGGAATCAGGAAAAGTTAAGATATAAATCACACCACAATGGCAGCTTAGGTTTTAGGTGACTAAGAGTCTTTGTACTGATTGCCAGTAGTTTTGGGTGGCGAACAATAAACAAGTCAGCAACTATGCAGGACCATTCAAGATAATTGTCTCATAAATGATGTTTACCAGTATTACTACATAGAATGATGCGTCCTAGATAACCTTTCAAAAATGGTATTTAAAGTTCTAAGCATATCACTTTACTAGATTCCCGACTGACAGATAGGTACGCTTTAGTGGTCTACCAACCAGGCCCAAATTGAATCGTAACCATCTCAGACTGTTGATCAAGCTGAAAAAGCTACATTGAACCTATAAAAGAACAAAGCAACAAAACTTAACTACTATCTTAAGAGGTGTCTAGGGAGCGTGATTAAGAATTACAAGGTAGTTAATTAGATGCACCATGCTAGTCTAGGTCACTGTTCTAGTGCTTACGAAACAGAAATCTTTCTATTATTATTGATAGTAATGGCTTCAACTAACAGCGTTTAAATAACTAGTTTCCATACTTATTTGATACCTGACTACAGGTAGGAATAAGAAAAACTGGGAGTATTTGGTGGATTTCAAGCCTGAAAAACCCTGTGGCTATATCCGTACCTATTGATGAATTTTGGAAGACAAGCACACTTAAATTTACCGGATACTTTCACTTTTCTGACCCTTGTGTGGCATTTCACTTTGCCATTAAGACGTTCCTTGGTATTCCATGACTTTGAGGCAACTAAGACTCTCTATTCAAACAAGTACAGCCTTACAAAGCTTTTTGATGCTTTTGACCTCAATAGATGAAAGTTAATTGTGTCTCTAAAGTAATACCACTTTTGCAAGTTATAACTATTTTTCCAGGTCACTATATGTATGTGATTTTAGTTACTGCTGAAAACACATGGATGGGTTCACTGCCCATAAAGTATATAACCCACCCTAAGTAAGCAAATAAAGTGGTAGAGTCAGGCAATACTGAAAAGATGCAGGATTTTACGAACACCTTGCGCACGTATCTGGGTGTATTTGGCAAGTATTTCACAGTTTTGAAAGGCAAGGTGATGATCTAAGACTGGTTTACACGAACTCTGATTTTAGGAATAAGTAGTAACATGGTGGGACCTAATGACCACATCATGCATTTAGGAAGTCACATTTGTCATAGTGGGTTGGTTTTTGATCAAATACCGACCCAGATTTTTAAAAATATTTGTATTAGCAACTGTATAAAAACACATGCCTGCTAGATATCCTAATGGTAATCAAAAGATGACTGTATTGGACAGCACTGGTGGTTAAATCCCTAAAGTGGTAACCAGATTTTCACCAAAAACGTGTTAGCAGCATCCTTTGTCTGTGACTTAACCACAGAGTTAGCAGTTTTGATGTTATGCATTAAGCCCCACTTATCAACAGAAATTTAGTCGATGAAGCAACAGACGTTCCCTGACAAGTAGATAGGACCGGTCTCCTGAATACCGCGTTACAATTTAGTTTGACTAGTAGTGTTATTCGAAGTAGTATTAGCTTGGAAAAAGATAAGGTGTGTCTAAATAAAGCAGTAAAACTTACCATAAAGTCACTAACTGTTGGCATGTGGTACTTAAGGTATATTCTGTCTGTATGGATCACTGAAGATGCCAAGAAATAACAGTTGAAAACTTTCGCTGATATAATCCGAAAAGCTATCATAGCATCACAGGCATTTTGATTCACTTTCATCTTTTAACTTTTAAACACTTTATTTGCCTCCAGTTACCTATGCTCTTTCGTCTATCATATTTGTTTATACATAAGATTGATGGAATTCTGTGGACCATCTGGAAGTTGATTTTCGGGTTTTACACTTAAAATCTTAATTTTCATACCTCTTTTGTTCACTTAAATGTTGTTCTTTTTTGTTAACTTATTCCTTCTATGTTGACGAGTCTGAAAGTTGAAGTGCGCCATCAGCGTAAATGGTTCTATATCGACCTACCTTAATCTATTTTTAATAATAAATCAGGCGACAAGCGGAAACGATTAAGTATATATTTGGATAACTGAATAGTTTCGGCCGCATTATTTTCGGCAAATGAAGTCTATAGAAGTCGCTGAAGTGTAAGAAATGTAACTAAAAGGTCTACACTAGGACGAATAAAACATGCAAATTTAATCTGCTAGCATTTTTAGGCTGTTTAACAAAATGAAAAATTGACACAATTCACTTCTCTACTAATCACAAATATTTTTTAATAACAGTACTAAATGTTGGCTCAAGACTATGTACTTGACTTTATTCGAGAACTAAAGAATTTCAAAAAGTACGAGAAAATGCTTAAAATGGGACCTCGGAAAACCTGAAAATTTAGTTTCAGTGATAGCATTCGTACGTTATACATACTGGCAATTTTACAAAGCACTTTCTACCTTATAAACTACAATTCGAATTCATGAAAAAACCTGTTTTATATGCTATGCCAGTTAGTCGATAAAAAGAAACTTCTTGTAATTTTCTGGGTGCTAATTCATAACAGAAGTAATCTTCGTGGGGTCGAAATGATAGTTACTTCTGATAAGAATCCTAAAAGCTATCAATTCGTAGTCTTGTTGTCGACCATCTGCACAAATATAATTATGTTTCATTTTATTTCAAACGTCAATACAATACGTGTAATATTCGACCACCAATAGATCGTTTCACAAAAACCAAGCATACATTAAAAGTAAGCTTCCCAATTTACCTTTAATAATGCATGAAGCGTTCGACAAGAATCGATCAATGTCTATATCATACTTTTCAGATTGCTTGAGCACCATTAGATTTCACTATCAATGCACACTAACGTTTGATACAGACGTAAAACCTTCAATAATCTTATAAAATTAACAGTTTTACTAGGATACGAAAAATGTTTGCGGCTTAATACCACTAGTATTACTAATGTGTCAAAATTTCTTCAGAAAAGTGCTTGAAAATGACCTTAAATGGTTGACGAAAACTAGTACAGATAAACAAGGAGCTGACAATCCTGGCACTCTGTATTTATGCAGCTTTCATGTAGGTGATAAGTTCCTACATTCAGCTTCGCTAGCGCTAGGCAAAAGAAAATGGCTTTTGAACTCTGGAGCTTAGGTAGTGAAGTTCAGTATTTTAGCTTGGTTATAATTGTTCGGTAGCTGCAGAAGTTTTTTCAGTTCAGGAGACCACATGGAAAAGAGAAAAGAGATAAAAACTTTCAAATATAAAACCATGTTGTTACTGGTCATGATACGAAAAGAGTATGGTCTCTTGTAAAGCATTATGTAGTGGAATCATTTTTGAAGAAGATTATTACAAACTCATGCTCTTAGTTATTTGGTCCTAAATAGACTTCAGCCCTTTACTTTTAGATTGGTATGCCCGGAGTGAGATTGTGGCAACAAAAATCGTATAGTTGCGCCCACATGATACAAATAGATCCCCCCCCTTTTCTTCTGGGTATCGTGCAAGGTTTACAAGTCTGTGTTGGATCCCGGTCCCGTGGTTCAAGGCGTTCTCTTGCTTTGCTCTGACAATCACAGTAAGGTATTCAATGCTGGCTAAGCTTGTAGCAGTTTATGAGATTTTCAGTGAAATCGTGATGTACATAGTGTTGTTAAGCGCTGTGTTGGCTGCAGTCATTTGGACAGGTTGTAAAGTTTTGCAAGGAGGTTTGACAAGGTAGTTATGAAGCAGTGGTAAAAGAAAGATTCAGTAAAATCAGGATTCCAGTAAACGGCGGCCAGGGGAATTCAAATGAACGGTGTTAAAGACTAGTGAGAAGAAGAGTATGGAAACTAGGAGTCAGGGTGGGAGTGCACATAGTAACAACAATAATAACGAGATGTTAACTAGAGAAAGAATCTGATGCAGAGAGAAGTAAAATGGCTTGTTAGGGAGAGATAGGGGCCCGTGTCATGTCCATTTTGATAGTGATATTGAGAGTCGGAATGAAGACGATAGGAACTGCTGAACTGCAGTTATTTGCTTCACCTTAGTCCTTATCGTGACTTCATGGGAGTAATTCGTGTGTCGCTGCCATTCAAACTTCTCTTGAGGCCGCCGACATGCGGACTGGTGGTTACTTCGGTGGGTAATGAGTTCTGGCAGCTCACAACTGGGTACAGGATTCTGATCGCAATCAGTATTTTTTCCAACGGTAGGTGATTCTTTTTGGGTCTCCATTGGGGCGACTATAGTGGCCAAAAAACAATGTTTCTGTGTTTGGGTTACTTAGATTTCTCATAATCTTGTAGGCTATTCTGAGAGCCTAAGAGTATAAGGAGCCGGATCTATTAGACCAGCTGGTACCGCCACTGAATAATGTGAGAACCGCATACTATGTGATGAACAGTGTGACGCTTCTATCAAGCTCATTCCAGACCGAGAAGTCTACCAACTCTAACGCAACAGTTCTTATTTGTATCACACCTTTCATATTTACAGATATTTTTATGCCTTATACTAACGCGGTAAGTAAGAAGCTTATTCCCCTAAAATAAAATGTCGTGGTTCTTAACGAATTTTTACGAAACGCCTTGCAATTGATCCTATAATTATGTCCAAGAGATCCTCGTCTGTATTCAAGCGCGTCGATGCACCAACATTGTGGACCTTCAGGTGGGATCACGTACAGGTCTTGTTGACTCGAAATTTTGCTTCACGGTAATGGAACCAAGTAGCTTGCACACAAAGTTTATCATTTTGTATTTTATCAAAGCATCCCCAGGATAATTTGGATTAGTATCCAGATAATCCACCAAGAGTGACCGCAGATTCTTCCAGTCATTTACAAAAGGAGGTACTTGGCCTAGAGTTTGTTCTAGGACAAAGAGAGTAGATTTCTCGTTGCCAACAAGGAGTGTGGAAAAATGTTTTTTCACAGATTCAGTGAAATTTCCCCATTCTTTATTCACTCCTCGAACCTTCTAAAGGCATTTTGAATTCTGGTTTAGTCTTTTTTAGACCCCATAGCCTCCTCTTTCATAATGTCATCGGTGTGTGACAGAACCAGATAGCTGAGACTCATTGGAAGGCCATTCACAAACTGCAGGTTGAACAATGGGCCCCGAATGCCCTCCAACGAAGTACTACCAGTTGGTCATGGGAAAAGACAGTACGTGGTTTCAGCGAAGAAATTGTTTTTTTCGACGAATCCACCTACCAAGCTTTGCATCCGTGGATATATGTTACAGCAGGCAGGAAGTTACGGAGTTATTTCCGTTTATGGTCAAAATATATTGATGCACATTTTGGTTTAGAGCGGGAAACGGGCGAGGGCTTGTGAAATCGAGTGTGATTATGTAATACCGGATGAATGTATGGCAAAGTAGGAACGTGAACGAAGGGTTATGAAAATAAAATTGTGATTACGTAACGCAGGTTAAATCTATGATAGGGCAGGAAAAGGGACAAGGATCAAGGAAGCATATGTACTTACCACAGGATGGATCTATGACAATCAAAGCCTTATGATGGCTATTGCGGAGGTGAAGGCCGGACTTACCTTTGGTACACAACTCTGTTTTGAACTTCTGGATGGCTAGGCAAATGATCTCACTCCTCTATAGTGGTTTGATCGGACCCTGTAGAGGATTACTACCAAATCTGAGCATGGGACCGTTTCCGCCAGAGTTCGTCGAAGTGTTAGCAGTTCTCCGTCAACAGTGTCCTCAGCAGACATCTTCCTCATCCTGGAAGAAAAAGAGTAGATAAAATTTCTCTTCCTGCATAGAAGGGCCGAACTTTGAAAATTAATAAACCGTCCGTTCGGTGTAGGCTGTCTGTAGATCTATCTACGAAGTGGATTATCGTCTCTTCTTTACAGGGGAACATCAACAAAACGGAACGGTGATGTTAATCCTGATTCTAGGTGGAATTTTGCTGAAGTGCAGGCGTGTTGAAAGTACGGGGAGGGTTTGCAAGATTCATATTTTAATCACCAACTATGAGGGCGTCATCAGTGTATCTTTTGTAGACATGATGTTGATTAATTTTTATGATAAGATGGTATTTCCCAGGTCTGTCGTAAAGCATCCATCTAGGAGGCGTCCTAGTGGTGAACTCATTGTAACACTATATGTCTGTCCGTAGGCCTAGCTAACAAATCTGAAGTGCTCGTTGATGGAGAGGCCCCTTTGGGCAGTGAATTGGAACACCAACATCTATGTCATGACATTGAATGAACTCACATAGGAAGCAGATGGCTTCCGCCGGTGGGACACTTGCGAAGAGGGACATGACACCCAGCGAAGTCACTCTTTCACCTGTCACACTGACATTCTTCAGTGAATCAACAAAACCAAATGTGCCACGGAGACCATGGTTCAGTAGCCCTTCCCCACAGGTCCATGTATTTCCACAGGCCTTTTCGCGATCCAATGGTACGGAGAATTTATCATGCCCAGTATCGAACGGAGCGGAATGCCTTTATGAGTATTTCGGGAAGACCTAGCGAGTGGGAGACCGTAGAACCCGATGGGAGAAGTTGTTCATATAGCTCCTTGGTAGTGAATGATTCCTTTTTCACTTTCTTCAGGATTTTCGACAATTGCAACCCTGTATGCTAACTAGAATCTTTCCGTATTGTCTGTTTTGAGAGTTTATTTCCACATGATAGTCTGATTTATTTAGTAGTACTGTTCCGGGGCTTTTGTCCTGATTTTCTATTTATGTAGTCAAGACAGCAATTTAAAACTATTGATTTGAAATGGTTAGCATTATCAGTCGTCACTGGGACCAGATAGTTGGCTTGATTAATAAGACTTTCGAACCGAAATTTCGTGTGGAGTTCACCGACTTTTAAAGTCACATCACGGAATTTAGGTCTAAATGACAAAATTTGGGTTGGGGACGGCTACTTAGTTGAAACGTATTCACCTCGGCAAGTTTGACGGAGAAACGTAGGAACGTGTCCAGTCTCTTTGCTGTCGCGCAGCCCCTGCTATTCTGTGAACAACAGGATACACCCGTTTGACAGTGACAAATCTCATGCCACTGGTTTCAGCGAGTTATTTTCCGCTAATATATAATACGAGGGGTTTCCAAGCATCTAGTCCCACCTCAGAACCATTCTGGTAATAAAACTTCGAAATAATGGCAGAAACCTATTCTGCATCAAGTTACAAGTGCAACCTATGTATCACAGTGTGGATCTTTAGCAGATATATGCCGAGAGATGCCAGAAAATGGGTGAGCTGTTGGGCTAGTCATCTGACTTACAACTCAGCACTAGCAAGTAGCGCTGAAAACACTCTGACTACTGGCATTTCGCCACCTATTGGCTATATTGAAAACCGAGCACTCAAGATTTTTCGGTGTGGGTTTTTTGAAAAGCACCATAGCTCAAACTGGGCATACCCCCACCTTGTGATGGGTTAAGATCAGATTTACCAAATAACTGAGGAGCTATTTCCAAAGGATAATTGGAGGAAAATCAAATACCGAAAGAGTGGGAGCCAGTTATTCTGTCACAACCATTCAACTCACGTGGCACAAATGACAGAACAAGCTACAAACTAGTAACTCAGCTGCATACAGATTCTAGGGTGCTACAAGGCTTAATACGTTACGCTGCTCGATAATATTTCCGCAAGCTTTACAAAAACCGGCTCATTCAAAGTGAAGCCAGGCCAATCGGAGAGCTAGTTTTGACACCAGAAAAAGCGGTTCACATGATTATCTTTGATGTAGCCACAGCAATGAACCATGTTTAGTATGATATTCTGCTGGTTAAAAATTTGGAGGCACTAATGGGCGGACTTATCATTTGGGTGTTCAAACATTCATGGTGGCACGGGATTCCATGTCTGGGTGAACTGAACCCATTTTGCTTCTACTGTATCTCAGGTATCGGTTATCTTTCTGCTGCCCACGGATGATCTCCTAATTACAGTTCGCTTTCACACTCTCTTCTCCGTCAGTGACACAAGAATATGGGGGGGGTGATGGATTGGAGGGATGAGGCAAAACCGCTCCAAGACGACCTGTTACTACGATAATCCTAGACGACGAGACACGAACTCTAATGTGCGGAAGTGCAACATATCTTCAGAGTCATGGGGCGATAAGAATAAGCCTCGCTTGAAAAATACATTGTTGCAGTGCAACACAGATAGGAGATCTAGGTGCCGATTTCTTGAAATATAAAGAAGTGGTTTCAGATGCAGATTCCATTGAACATTTCTCTTGGAGACAGCTCACCGTCCCCAATTGCTAACTCTCGTGGCTTTTTTACTGTCATCAAACACCGAAGTGAGCTGCGGCGAAACCGCGCCGCAGCTCAAACAACATTGAAAGTCTCTGGTGAAGTGTAATGAAGCACGTCGTTGGATAGAGGAGTGTGCTAACGCTTAGCGTTTGCGCAGACTTCAACAACTTATCGCTGGTTGTTGAGTAAAAGAAGACAAAACGGTAACAGCTGAGATACGGCTTGTTATGTTATGATCATGCAACACTTGGCCAGCCTCGCAAGAGTTAATGTACCCCGGCACCTGACCAACCAACATCCCACCTACTTGTTACCGGTGATAACGAAAGACAAATTGGAAAGTACGTTATAAAAGCGAAACGTGGTCAGGCAACCGGCTTGTTTGTTAGTCAGGGATTGATATATATATATATATATGTATATATATATATGTATATATATATATATATATATATTTCATACAACACAGGTTACATGAATACAAACCAGTCTACAAGTTTGATCATTTTTGTAATAAGAAATGACTATTATGTACAATGTTGAGCTATACATTAGGTACCTTTATTCATGGCATATAAGAGGTGTGTTGAAGCAGGCTCAGTTCGAAATTATGAATTATTCGGTTATTGTTTGAATCTTCCAATATTCTTGAGGGTGGGACAGGCAGCACAGTCATGACCTTGGGGTGTGAGCGTTCGTCATAAGGTTTTGATGGCAAGGTGCACACCGACAAATGTGATCTCTAGGATTCCATTTGAATGCAGGACTGGTTGGGTAAACCTGAAAAGTGAATAACAAAAGCGAGCAGCAGGCGGCATTCGAAACAGGATAACAAAAATTCGCGGGAAGAGATCAGCCATGATACATGCAGGTGATTTCTTTGTACTGATTACAAAACTTACTTGAAGAAGTATCCAAAACCAACTGTTTAGGAGCAAGCTGAGGTGGAGGAAGATGAAGGTGCGCACGACAGTAATGGAGATTAGTCTGAAGCCGAAGACGTTGCTACGAAATGGAGAGATTAGAGGGTTTTGGACCAGGCATTCACTTGTTATATACCTGTGTACAAAAGTTTGATGAAGTTGTAAAAATTTAAGTGAAATTCATGGTTTTTTCTAAGATGGTAACCACTCTTTATCTAGTCACAGGGGAGGGATGATCATGGCGTTGCCATATCGGGGCTACCGAAACAATATGATGGTGCGGGGTACTCACATGTAAGTACTGACAACAAAGGGCAAATAATAAAACATGTTACATGCT